CAAGTGAACACAATCAAACATAAACATATAAACATCTAAAGAAAAAAAATAGGATTGCATAAACTAGGTGAGAATTACTATAATTCCTAACCCTATTTTGGATTATTATGAATCTCATGAATCATATTTTTGTGATAATAATCTTGCAAGCTATTACTTTGCTGTATGTCATTATAACAATACTATTAGTGCCTTAGATTGATATTTTCCGATGCAAGTGACCGTTTTCCAAGCCTAACTTGATTATTTCTAGTGCGATTATTTTCGGACTGGCTAGGATACGAAGACGAGTTGGAGAATGACTTACGCTTGCCAGAGGATTCTTCTTTTTGAAAATGTGAAAGCAAACTTTTTTTGCTTTTGTCGGACATAAACGATCGAAAAAGTTTTGAATTTCCTGGAATACTGAGCAACGCTTCCCACCAGTAAGTGCGTACTTCCTTATGTCTAACACAATACATTACGAATATAAGTAACCCTTGGAAAGAATTAAGAATACAAAAAAGCCACAGCATAATATCTGAAGCATCTCCAATGGAGAAGAAGCCGATCAGCCACGTTAAGCCCAAAACTACTGTAACGCTTACTGCACTTTGTAACATCTTTATCCCTCTGCGTCTGGTTTTCTTTCCTCTTATGTGAGATTGATTTGTGTTTTTTCCATGCTGGATTAATCTATTTAAAACCAGAATGAATATGGCCATGTTGAAAAGTAAGGATAGTGCAACAGGAATTGCTACGCTGTAGTACATACGTTGGAGTGCCAGAAAACAACTGTAAGTAGATAAACACCAGAAAAGTCATGTTTCATAATAAGCAGTATTTCAGTATAGGGTACTTGATCCATTAATACGTGTGTGTTGCATAATACACACAATAGTAATGTGCACATATATACAATAATATTAATAGGCCTATAATATACAAGTATATAAATTTCGTATCACCTTATGTTGGGTGTGTTGCCATAAATTGTAAGTTGGTAAACATAGACAAATGAAATTATATATATGAATTGGCTGGCTTGTGTAATAGATATTTTATACTTGTTATTTGGCAGTGCTGCAAGGATGCTGTGCAGAAAAGACAGAAAACAAACTGAAACACTTTTGCTTGATGACAAGCAGCTGTTTAAAACTTGTCTATAACTTACTGCTCATTAGAATCCACATAGTTGTTAGAGTCAATAGATGCAGAAACTGAGACAATCACCACTGGTAAACCTGTATAAAAAGTTTAAAATCCATGATTTTACAACAAAATATATATTTTGATATGATTGAATAGTTCAATCCAATATGTAAAAAGCAAGCCGCTGTAACACTCTAAGCATTCATTAGACGCAAAATATCTTTATAACAAACTAAAATACTTACCCCATGCAAACAAGCAAGCTTTAAAGAGAAAGTAGGACACACCGAGACTTTTAAAGACTTTCACAAATAAGTAGTACATATTTACAGCTTGAACACTCATCCAGAAGATTGATGAGAGCAAGAAGTAATGTAGAAAAGCTCCAACAACCATACACCCTAGACTGGGGTCACCTTCTACTTCTTCTGTGGTTCTATCAATTTCAGCAAGAAAGACAATATACAAACCAAGCAAAGACAAACACAGCTGGCATAGAATTTGCTTAGGTTGACTCCTCCGAAATTGCCTAAATATGAATTAAAATTAATACCATCATCATCATTTTTATACAAAGAAAATTATGTTTTATGATTTTAGTTGTTTTCCTTTTTTTATGGGCGCATTCAGGGAACAGTGAAATTTCACTGTTCCCTGGTGCATTAGATGTTATTTTTTAAATTTGTGTGTAATTATTTCATGGCATTTTATATCTCAACTTCTGCTAACACGCGACTGGAAAACATGGTCTTGTGCTTTAGTAAATTTACTACCGTATGTATTATTTACAATACTATTGTTTATTATATATACTATACAAATTGGCTATATTTTAAAATAATGATAAAACATCTTTACATACCTTTTACTCACAAATGTAAGTATTGTCAAAATAAGAGATGCAATTGATATGCTTAAGCCAACGATTGTCACAATGTCAGCTGCCGGGGGAAGAGATCCAACCATATGGAAATCCTATTAAAAAGCAAAGACGCAAAGGACATATTCTGAAGACGAATTCAATATTACATATGTATATATATATTAACCTGTCTCTTATACACATCTAGATGTGTATAAGAGACAGTATAAAGTATAGTAAAACAGCAGCAAGTAAGTGGAAAGTACATTAATAACAATGAGCAAGTTCCAGTATTGCGTTTGTTGGTTACTTCTTCAGATTTAGATTAAACGAGATATATTAGTTTGATTTTATTCATTTATTCGACTAATGCATATTTACAATAGTTATAAGACTAAATAATACCAATAACTAAATTACATAATAATCCAAATAAGCCCCAAAATAACAATAAAAAAAAAAATATGATAATTATAATGGTAATGATAATAAAATTGATAAAGATAACAAAAATGATAATGATGATATAGATATTGATATAAAGATAGTGATGATAATAATAATTACTATTAATATTATTATTATTATAATTATTATTTTTATTATTATTATTAGGCCTATTATTATTAGGCCTATTATTATTATTATTATGACTGAAATAATACTAAAAGAATAATTAACATAATTATTAATTTCAAAGTTAAATAGAAGCGCAGATTCATAAATTCAGTGAACGCTTGTGCTGCTGGTGATTAGGTGAACATACCATAAGTATAGCAAAGTTAGTTAGATGTGTGCACTCGCAATACTGCCTGTCACTCCCATCATCCGATCCGTTTACAAATATGCAGCCGTCAGTCGACCATCCTCCAATTCCATCAAGTTTAAAATCCCAAAATACACAGGTTGTATTTCTGTTTGTTTCAGAAATCTGCAAACAACCGTAATTTAAGTGCAAAATTTATGGATAAACTGACCGAAGTTTATCCACAATGCAGATTTATTAACTTGTTTTAAATGACTATTACTATTTTCTTACAAGAGTAATTAATTTTTGGAATGAAAATTGTAATCTAAATAGATTGTTGGTATGTTGTAATTTTTTTGTTTAAGTGTTATTATTCTTTAATTAATCTGGGTTTGTCATTATCAAGCATTGATGAGTATCTACATAGATTTAGATTACTATATGATTAATAATTTCAGTATTATAAAATCAATATTTTAAAATCAATATTATTAAAAAAAGTTACTTCGATGGGAATGAATGTGGTAACGATGGGCTGGTCCAATTCCACACGATCTAATCCAGGCACAGAGAGAGAAATAACTTGACTATTTGGTCTGCGACCTGAGCTATCCTTAATAAACTGAGCAGATTGGAACAGTCTACTGTCATTGTAAACAATAACTATAATTCGGAAATCTAAAAAAAACAAACCACACAATTATCACAAAAAAGGCACTGCATTGTTGTGTGACCAAAATATCGTTATTACATTTTTCTGATAAAACTATATTTTAGTAGGTCCCTAAGATATACTGTACTATAAAACATAGTATTGTATAAAGTAGCACTTTATATAATTAATAATAATGATAAATCAATTCACTTGTTATTTTACTTCCCTTTACTAGACAAAGTTTAATTAACTGATAATATTACTGATTTCATTTCTTCTAATAGCAGCTTTATGTTTTCTAATATACTTTGCAATCTATTGGTTTGTGAATAGAGATATATGTATTGTATGAAACAATAGACCTGATTTTCAACATGTTTATACATAATTACAAATATCATTGTTACTATTATTTATTTTATTTTTGGTTGATGCAGCAGTACTTCCTATTGTCATTAGCTATGGAATCCATCACACACAAAATTTTGGCAATTATCCTATTTTCAATCCTAACACGAAAGATACCAATTATATTTTAAATGAATAATATTCTACAAAAAAAAAAATAAATAAAAAAAAATCTACTGATTGAAGAGAAAGAGAGAGTAAGAAAAACGAGAGAGACAAAATGTGGATTGATTAGCTTACCTAAGACCACCACAAAATGAAACTTTTACTTACAAACATTCGCCGGTGAGCCTAATGCAACCAAATATTTTTACATTATTCTACTTCATGAAGGAATTAGAAACTAATGGCTCCATGCTTTAACTATTACCTGTCATATTATTCTCCTTGATGACATCAGATATACTGTTTGGCAGAGCAATTGACACATTGGCAGCATCAGGTATTTTCACACCATCGTCAAGTACTTCAACAGCACCTACACCATTCTCATTTGATTCTGATATAAAATTTAAGTAAGTCATGTCTTCTTCACTAATTTGAGTTGCATCAAGCCTCTGAGCCTGTACTGCAATATTTGGTGTAATTTCTTTATAAATGCCCTCTGCATTTAGCTCTACTTTGCCCAGTTGATCTTCAAGAACTGCAACAATTTTTGTAGGAGACTGATCCTCAATTTGACTTTGAATTAGAGTTTCCTCGTCAATACTAAATAAGTTATTTACTACCATAACAATAGATTCTGTCACCTAACAGTGAATAAATAAAAATTATTTATAGTTAATTTAGGTATAAACATCACAAAAACAAACGTTGGAACTGGTAGTCACAGGTAAGTGCGTAGAACAATAAACAAAATTTATGAGGGTGGTCCATGACTCCTCAGCCGCCGTAAAGAGGCGCCTCTAGTAGGTACATATTCCAACATTCCATAACAACAGGGGCTGAAATGAACCATAGCATCGGGTAAACCCCTACTCTTCCGAAAAGATGCAATGGGTTCTTTAAAGTGGCCACGAACCAGATGTGTAAGCGTTGACAGGCCGTAGTTAGCTTCGCTCCTGCCTTTACC